GAACAAAAGAAACTCCCACTTATGACAGAAACAGTGTAATTTGGTTCTGATTGCTCATTGGAATTAGTTGAACACTTGAACCAAAGTGTTCAAGAATCAAGACAAAACAAATTAATTATTTTCCACTTACTCATTTACCAACCACAAATTGAAATTCATTTGGGGAAAAGCTTAGCAAGAAAATCACACAACAAAACCATTGCAACTTTAAAACCCCCTTCCCAAATTAGGTAGTCTGACTGGCTATGAACATAATCTCAAACAACAATTCATGGAACATTAGCAGATAGAAAAGAAGCACAAATGTGAAAAATCATGGGGGTTACCTGGAGATTGAGAGCTGAAGAAGACAGAGGCGAAGATAGCTTAATGACACCAAATTCCATTGCCAAAAAGAGTTTGGAAACAGAGTTCCAGGCTCTTCTCTGGGTATTTATCTAACTGGTTGCTTAATAAAGTGATGTCTGATATTTGAGTAAGAGTAAATACTGACCACACATACACAACACATGGATCAATAGTAAACAGCACAATACTACTACTAACAGTCCCCGAACTTGGACGTGGCCTCCTATTCTATGCACACTTTTATTGGGTCGTTGCTTGCTATACTCTGCGGTGATGCTGGTAATTTTAAGTTTTAACGGTCACATACAAAATGCTAATGAGTAACGGGTTAGTGTGAAATACTAATATTAGTTTTTAACCATTCAACTAAGAGACATTATTTAATTACTCTAATCACAGTAACCTTATAATGAAGAGATTTTCTCCGGGGTGAGATAAAATGAGGGGCTATATTGAGGACTAAAATAAGGGTTTAATCCAGCAGTCTAATAATAACTTTGCACTTCATCGAACGGATATTAAGGAGCCCCTCGTTATAGCATACCTGTAAACCAAGGTACAATGAGCCACCAACACTAAATGGAACGGCCCAAGTGATCCACAGCTGCATGAAAATAAAACAAGGCCCAGGTGACCCAGTGGCCAAAGCCCATAGAGCATAGTTTAGCTACGAAGGGGCTTCCAATTCCCTTGATACAAATTCGAAGTGCATGAGCATGACACTTGAGTTGAATGCGCATGAGACCACTCCATTTCACGTGATGTCTGGCTAGTAATTGCCCCCTTCCCCATTCATACAGATTTAGACTTCAAGATGCAGTAAATAATATATATATATATATAGATTATTATTTTTTTATTGACCGAGAGTTTTCAATGTTCCGAAAAGAGAGAACAAACGTAACGTGTGTGCACTTTAAAGAAAACAAAGAAGAAAAAAATGACCATAGAATTGAAAATAATGCACGTTTAAAGGGTTGCATTTTGCTTAGCAAGAAACAACATAGCGTTCATGGCCGTACCCGTATGTCATCTTCTTCAATTTTCAAATGCCAGCAAGCACCTACCTTCCTCGAAAATGCAGCTCAAACATCAACTTCTCTTTCTTTTTCTTTTTTCTTTTTTCTTTTTTTTGTTGTATAATTCTCACACAGGCCTTTTTAACAGCAATACGTTTCACATATGGCTCAATGTGGCACGTTTTTATTGCAACAATTGTACAAATTTTGGCTTCTATTTCCGCATATTGTCATATTATGAGTCAAAATGGTACAATATTTCTGCCACCCACAAGTAGTTTGCCAGCAGAAAGTCTACTTAGAATTTTTTGCAAATGAAAAATGGAATATTAATTAATGGCATTCATATCTTTTGACTATAAAAATTTTAAAATAAATGGCTCCATTAATTTTATATTCGTGTGGATTGAAACTTTATGATGGATGGTCTCAGACAAGATAAGCGTTTTTGACCATGGCGGCAGATAAATCTTGTCTATGGAAGACACCTGAGCAGCTGACATGGGTGAATGATTTTAGGGCATTTTGTTGACCTTCTGCCCTACAACAACTTCTTTTGTTGGGCCATTCTATCTATGCCGACAATGCAGGAAATTCAGCACAAACTGTGACTTTCTTTCTCTTTGCATTTTAGCTTTATGTTTCTGCATAATGTAGGCAAATCATGCATATATAATATATTTGTGTTTATATATGCACGGTAGCTAGAATTTAAGTCAACAATATTTACATGGTTTTGTCTGTAATGGGCACAATCAAAACTGGCCATGGGAGCCCCCCGTGGTTCTGATTTTAATTTCTTATTTAATTCTTATTGTGAATTATGCATGCATGAAGAACCATATATAAGATTGAAAGACGCAAATACGAGTTAGGTGAGTCGGTCATAGAAGTTTAGACTAATCGATTGTGTATATAAAAAAAAATACGAAAGACTTTTGATTAACATTTTATATCCAATGGACTGATGTGGTACCACGACAAGTTAATGTATAGAAATATATGAAACTTAACAAAGGAAAAATGGTCCTACAAAAACCAAAGAAACGGTTCATGTGATATGATATAGTAATTAGACCCATAAGGGGTTGTTAGAAAAGAAGAAAAAAGTAATATTATTAATTAATTTGATGATCCATCTAATCTAATGGTTGTTAAATTTAGAGAGACGACCATGTGGCTCACCACTAGCAACACTGATATTGTCATCAACTTAACCACCTACCAAGCCCAATAGGTGTGTGATTTTATCACAAAAGGCCTCGGTGATATTAGTAGTTGAATCATTCATTATATCTTATATTTTATTTAGTTAAATTTCAGATGTGGGACTTATATTCTTCAACAATGGTGTCTCATTTGAGAGTAGTTGCTGACTTTGTCGACGCTCAAATAAAGTGGGGGCCAATTACAAATGCAATACGTGACCATCCTTTGTTGATCATCCCTAAATTATAATATTAGACAGAAAGGTCAACTCTCTTGCTCAATACCCTATTTGTTAGTGAAGTTTAATAAAAATGAATTAAGACTTAATCGTTAGATTACATGCATCCAAATCTCACGATTCTCTTAATTAATAATTAATTAAGTCGAGTTTTCTTAACAATGTTAATATAAATTATAATAATAAGTAGCTAGCTTTTGTGAGTCTAAATTTGAAGAGACTGTAGTCTACGTCTCGCATATTTCATTGACCTTAGGCTGCTAACAAAAGCTAAGTCAGAAAGAGTGACGGAATTAGATTCTTTCTTTCAATTATTATTCGCCAATTTTAGTATAAAATAAATAATCTTGTTATATATGGTTTGCATAATAACATGATGATAGCTACCCAAAGCATATTATATTCCATAGCCTCTGCATCTTACATGATAGCTCGTATCAGAGCTAATTAACTAAATCAAAAATATTTAATTAAATCTTATCGTCTTAATCAACTATATGTACACGGGAGATTGCTGCGATTGAGCCAAATTTGGTCGAATCTTGCCAACTTAAATATGTTAAACAAGTTTCTTGTACAAGGGTGAGTGTAAAAAAAAAAAAAAAAACAAATCCCACTGCAGTGTCACACATATTAAATAAGAGACATCCACATCAGAATGGCTTTGAATGATCAAAATTTCATGTTGTGTGGAAACAATTTTAAAAAGAAAAATGCATTAATTTGTAAAATTCTAAATCATTTTCTGATTCGTGGGTTTAGTTGGAAAGAAACAGAGAAAGAAGTTTGATTTTCAGCAATCAAATTAGACCAAACCCTTTACCATTGCAATGTGAGTCGTGACTTGTGAGTGAGAGACCATTGAAAAGGTTGTTCCCATTTTCCACGTAAAAACCTTATCACTGTTATAGTTTTCTTGCGTTGTTGAGGGACCACTCACTTGTATTGTATCTTACTCTTCTACTTCACGCCTTTGACTTTGTCCACCTATCCACGACCTCCCACCGTCCCAGCTCCAGCTTCATCTTCCAAAACAAAATGGCTTGTCTGCGCTTCGCAATTCAAGCCGCGGGCAAATGCTGAATATATAGTGTTTTTTTTTTAAATTCTTTAAAATCAGGTTTGGTGTGAATATGTGGTAATGAAGGTTTGCATTTCTTCATGTAGCTTGAGATAAGATCGTACTAGTTTAATTAAGATTTCAACTTAGGATGAGTTATGAATATAATATGCCAACCTGTCTTGGCTATTTATTTACACGCACAACAACTCAAAAGAATGAGATAGCAAGACTAGTTTGACTTATTTACTTACTCAAAATGGGGAAGTTAGGCAAGGGGCTCGTAGCAAGTAGAGCAGTTATCTTGCATTCGAGGTCATGCGTTTGATTCCCCCTTCCTTCATTATCGCTCCTATTAAATAGGAAGTTAAGAATATTGGAGAAAAATGAGGGAGTTAGGAATATCGGAGAAAACTGAGAAAGTTAGGAATATGAAATAGAATGAATGGATATAGAATTAACTATTTACATCAGTCAATCTAAATTATGATTTTTCATGTATTCAATTACGATTACTCTAAAGTAATTTAAGAAAAAGTGATTCGAACTTGAGTGGAACTCACTGAATTTTTAATTCTTTATGTGTTAATAAATATAAAGGAAGTCAACAATATAAATAATTTCAATATTCATCCTAGATAAATAAACAATTGAATTGAACTCATCAACATCATATAACATATAAAGATTTCAACTTTGATTCCTCCTCTTTTCATTCAATTTCAAAGAAATAAAATTGGCGAGCCGCAAGTATGAGCCAATCACAAGCCAAGCCGAAGCGCATTAAATGGGAAGGAAAGAACATTTTGACGGTGCATATGTTTTATGAGGTGAAACTTGCCAAGAAAACGGGGGGAAGCAGTGGCCGGCGGCTTAGCTCACACTCACCCTCACCAAACCAAACCCAGCCTCCAATTCCTCCACGCGGCCTTCTCTCAACACTCTTTTTTAGTCCTGAAATTAATGTCACATATTGCTCTGACTAATCTGACCCTCCATCCCCCCATCACCTCTCTGTTTTCCAACTTGATCTTGACTTGGCCACCTCTATTTCTAACTTGAGCCCCAAGCACCTCTCTCTCTCTCTCTCTCTCTCTCTAGCCGCCACGCGGTACCTCTCTCTCTCCCCCTCTCTATAAAACAGGCCTAACCCAATGAGCCCACTCCCCCATAGCATTCTCCAACCTTCCCCTTCCTTTTTCTCTGGTGAAAACCTTCCTCTTCCATTATAATTTGCTTTCCCACACAAAACCCAAAAACCCAAATCTCTCATTTACCAAAAGAGAAACACAAAATCTCTCTCTCTCTCTCTCTCTGTTTTGCATTGTTAATCTGTGAGAATCAATCAGAATGCCTCGTCTAAGCGCTTTGGCACTCATTTTCTTAGTGGTCTTGGCCTCATTTGCTGCAGCTTCAGAAAGCAGAAAGCTTTTGGACACGAAGAAGCAGGATGGTGATGGCCAGTACAGGAAGAGAATGGCTTCTCTGTTTCTAGGTGCTCTTCCGAAGGGCACAGTGCCCGCTTCTACACCCAGCAAGAAGGGCCACGCCGTCGTCATCAATGAGAAGCTCGTTGCTCGCCATCTCAGTAGCAACGATCGGATTCTGGCGCAGGCTGTTCCCAGCCCCGGTGTTGGCCATTGATTAATTGCTAGCAAATATACCAGAAATATTATTCTTATATTTTTTCATTAGTTTCAATAATTTTATAATCCCTCTACAATTTTGAGTTCTTCTTGGGTTAGATGTAGAATTTAGAACAGAACTTGAAATGTATAGACAGTTTTGGTTGGGATTCATTTTGCAATCTGCACAATCCCTTTAGATATATAGATGCAAGAATTCTCAGAGCTAGATATTAGATTGTATTTTTTTTTGTTTTGGTAACATTTGTTCATCTATTTGTTTAAGGAAAATAGTTCTAAGAATTTTCAAAAAGAAAGGTCTATACTCTCTCTCTCTCTCTCTCTCTCTCTACAGTCTTAAACAACATTTCTCTCTCTCTCTCTCTCTCTCTATCTACAGTCTTAAACAACATTTCCCTGTATGCTCTGGTTGACCTGGCATCTAATTAAGCGCTCTCCAGATTTGTTGATGAATTTTCAACTTTCTAGCTGTATCTGTTTTTCTTGAGAAGTTGGTGGTGGAGTTAGGGATCTTTAACTCTCGAGGCTTTAAAAAGCAAAAAATTTAAGCATGTTCATCCAAAAAAACCGTCCAAAAATAGAGTTTTTTTTTTAAATTAAAAAAGAAAAGAAAAAATTAGGTGGGTACACAAGACAATGAAGCTTTCGTTGAATGTTGGAATTAAAATAAAATTTATTCTTAGATATTGTTCTAAATAAATAAAAGAATGACGGAAGGAATGTAGGATATGTAGAAATGGCATGCCATTTGGCTCAAGGTGGTGAAAGAAAAAAGTGCCGGAAAGGCAAAAGCGCGTTTTAGGGAGCGTCACAAGCCGACTAGTTGTTGGTTGCTCCTCCTCCTGATTATAAAAATGGCATTTGCCAGGAAGATGAGATCCATATGGTTCACATTCATGAGATGAGCAAGTAGAAAATTCAGAAATAGCATTTTTGTAGAAAAGAAAAATGTGCCTAGCTAGCTACCTAGTTTATTTAAGACCACAAATTTATGGGTTTTGTACTTGGATTTGATGACAGGATGAAGTTGGTTAACTTTGTCGAATTACCTCGTCACCTGATTGGTAGAACAAATTATTATCACTTTACATCAAAAGTATATTAATTGGAGTGACGTCAATGTGGTATTGATCAAAACCTTTTTATGTGCTTTAATTCAATTTACACGTGACATTAACCTTTTATAATACTTCTCTTTTTCTTCGCTTAAAGTACACTCGGATTTGATTCACGTATGAGACAATTTTAAAGTAATATAATATCATACTCCCCCTTAATTATAATTTCACCCGTTTTTTAAATGCTTCATATCATTTGAATATTTTAAGGCGTATATTATAATTGATTACATACATCTTTTAAAGAACTCAATTCGCGACCTATCTTAATAGATTATATGTTGAGCAAATATCTTTTTTCTAGGCGTACGTCTCCTCTTCCTAGACGTATTCCTCAAATTCTCCATTTTCCTAACCTTTCCTAGCTATCACATCTCCTTTACAAGTGACACTAACAATAAGCAAGGATGATTAGTAGTATGTTACTAACCTTAAGTGGCTATTATTATTATGAATGACATTAGCATTGTTTAAATTCTAAGGGTATTTGGTTTTCTAAATTTTATTTTGGAGCTCTTAGCCTTTTGCCGCTCATTTGAAAAATTCCGGACTTAGCCACTGGTTCTCACTTTATCTAGAACAATTTAAACTGAACATCATTATCTCTTGCTGAAACTTAATTTGTATATGCTAGGTTATTCCACAAATTATTGTCGGAATTGAAGGGGGTTTATGTTGTATCTATGCATGACCTCAAAACTTGCGGGTACGTTATATGTCCTTGTAACTCAAGGACGTGATCGATTACCAAACATATATGTCCTTGTAACTTAAGATATCAGTCAGGTCCGTAATTGAAGGAAGATATATATAATTTAGGTTTTAGAGTTGCCAACTTGTAAAGACAAAATCATCCGTTGAATGAGAAATAAGTATGTAGATATATATTCTAACCATCAAGATTGACTAGCTAGCTTCGATCAGATAAGCATGATATCAGAGTCCACCTCTTTCTTATTTTCTCCCGTACTAACTTTCAAACTCGTGGCATCATAAATTCTAAGATCAAAAGGTAGGTCGCTTCTTAAGTCCTTTCTGCCTTTCTTGGAAAATGACCAAAAAAGAAAAGGAATATTGACAAGTCAAAATCCAACTTTAGCAGACTCATTCTGGTCACGTTGTGTGAAGTCTATTTCACTTGTAAAGGGGAAAAAAAGAAAAATCTGTTAACTTTCAATTTCAGTTTGAATAGACTAAGGCACTAAGATCTCAGTCATACATACATGTATAATCGGGGAGTAAATTGATGAAATTGAAACTCGGAGATTCATATTCAGAATCACCTCAAATTTTTAGAGGGTCTTTTGATGTTAGCCCATATATATATACTTGGGACACCGGCACCAAATTACTTGATTGGCCAGGCCAAGTAGTGCATTTGGACCGTCCTCTTAGCCCTCTATGTGAAAATGCCGACCAAATCTTGTGTTGTTGTCAAAGTCAGGCTCATAATTGTGATCACTAATCAAATGCACAAGAACATCGAACCTGGAAACCAACTTTGGCTCTTCCAAACCAACCCAACTCTCAAGGGCTCCACAAACCGCGCAGTCGTTTATTTAGAAACTCACAGGACTCTGTTTGTGGTTTTGGGCTTACAGATTAATTATGTTTCCAAAATATATAATATAAGAAGAGAAAAAAACCAAAAGAAAAATGTGGGTGCATGGAATATGGTTCCAAATATTTGTCAAACTCACCCGCTGCATATGCCTATTGACTGGTTTCTGCCTTCAGTAGCTACGGCGCCACCTCAAGATATTTTGACGGTTTGACTTTTAAATCAGGAGTTAGACCACACGTGTCGGTGTGGTCGTAATTATAATATAAGTTCATCTTTATTGAAATTATTTTCTAAAATGGGGAAATATCAATCATGTCGCTCATCCATATTATAACATATGTATAAACTATACCACGTGACTGTATAATGTCAAATTGTTCAAGAATTTTAATCTAAAACTTGCAGACAAGAGATCGTAGGTTCGAATCCCCATTGCATCTTATTAAGTTGTGTGTATGTGAGAAATCTTCATTCCCTTTGTTGAAGAATATAAGTCCCACATTGAAAATTTGACTAAATAAAATACAATATATAATGAATGGCTCCACTAATAAATCACCGAGGTCTTTTGTAATAAAACTCCACATTTATTGGGCTTTGTAGGTGGTTAAGTTGGAAACAATATCGGTGTTGTTAGTAGTTGGTCGACTAGGCCTGAATTGGGCCTTTACCTTTACCCAATATGTGGTGTTCACATGTTGGGCTACCCAATACATGGTGTTCACGTGTTGGGCTTAAATGATTGACTCCGATGTGGACTTGACTCAACGTGTGACCCACTATGTGATGATCCCACATGAGGAAACCCCACACATACTGGGCTTTATAGGTGGTTAAGTTAGGGACAATATATGTGTTATTAGTAGTAGGCCGCTGCCCCGTCTCTCTGAAATTTAACACCCTTTAATTTAGACTATCCCTCGTACTAAAAAAAAATTTCTTTGTCACGTGGTGACTTCAATTGAATTTATTTTTTCACATGAAATTTCTTTTTGTTAAAGTAAAAATGAAGGAGGCGAAAAATTGAACAAAATCTAGATATAAGTTCCTAATTAAACTCTCAAATTGTTCAAAATCTAGATTATAAATAAAAAAAATTATAGAAGGATTGAACAAAATGGGCCTTTCTTAGACACTATGTTGGGCCTCGGGAACATGGGTATGTTCTGCCTTTGGTAAATGGGGCCACAGGCCCAAAACAAAACTGTAACTAATTACAATCATTCATGGCCTAACAAATGCCTTAAGGAATTCGGTGCCTTGTTGCTCTTATGGCTTGGACCAGAAGGTGGGATAGGACCCTTATTAAGAACTACAAGATGAGAATTAGCCACTGTCACCTGATGCAAATCTAACAGAACCACCCTATGCACAGCTTCAGGCATCTCAGAAGCGCCTTCGCCTTTAGAATCCGGTATATTTGGCCCCGGGTAGGTTCGAGATGCAGATGCTATACCTGCCAAAATTGTGAGAGATATTGTGATGGTGATGAACAAGAAAGATGGTTTCTGACTTAAGGAGAACATGATAGCTAGCAGGCATTAATTAAGATTTGAAGGGCTTTGGGTAGTGAGGACATGAGGGCATGGTTTGGTGGCTTTTATATGCATGGGGAGCCAGCCAAATAGAAAACTTTACGTGACTTGACCTAAGACTTTTTGGATATATGTTAACATGGAATATAAATGATCACACTTTTGAAAAAAATTTGAGTTATAAGATATCTAATTTCGTCGGCGAGCTTATTTTTTTTGTTTTTCCTCCATGAATTTGATGTTCTTGTTGCAATCCTAGCAATAGGCATTGAATTTAGCCGGTATTATAGCTCATCTCTCACAATCACAAGAATCTAACCCATCATAAGATTTCATAGCACTTTGCCTACTCAAAAAATCCTACTAACCATCATTTTGGACTTTGAAATTAAGCTCCCACTATTTTCACAAAAAAATGGTGAACATGAAAAGGGATTTCTTGATATATATATAAAGCCTCAACTTTTGGTAAAAGCCAAGTCCTAGAAGATCAGCTTTTGGGAAAAGTTATAAAGTGCGGCTATCCTTCTAATTACATGCTTTTTGGCTACCAACTTCTTTTATTCAAGGTAGGGACAGATTGCCAAAGTGATTTGGTTCATATACATTAATTGAACTTGCACTTTTGGTTTGGGGATGAGTTGATGAAACCAAATTCAAGAACGAGGGCTAATTCAAATGCTTTTTTGGGATGAGTTGATGATATCACATGCTGTTGGGGAGTATGCAACCGAAGCACTAGCAGCAATAAACCCTACCTAGCAAGAGCATCTTATCCAGTGGGCCAGCTTCAGGAGAATTTCTAGTAAAAAGGGCTTTAATGGTATGATTTTATTATGTGACAAATTTTTTTATTGTTCCTAATTATATTTCATATATCAATGGCCTTCTACTCTCGTAATCTGGAGCGTATAAATAGTAAAACAACAGGGAAAATACCAACAGGCCTATTAGCTCAGCTGGTTAGAGCGTCGTGCTAATAACGCGAAGGTCGCAGGTTCGAGACCTGCATGGGCCATTTTTTTTCCTCAATTTCCAAGAAAGTTGGTTCTGTTTTGCTCATCCTCTGGCAGTCTCAAATCAAACACCTTAG